TACTATCTAAAAGACCCAAACATAGAATTCTAGTTGCCTTGGCAATTGCCTCAGAGAAGTAGCTTCAAAGACAATGTGATGCAATCAGATAATTTCGTATTTCCGCCCCTGATGCAGTCAAGATCGAAAGGCTGTCATATCGGTATTAGTGAACAATCAATCAGGGCCATCATACATTTGTGCCCATGAGATGAGGGCTGGTTCCATAAGGACTGACTGAATCTCAAAAAGCTCTTAACTCATCGTAGAATTTTTGTTCCGACCCAGTTGTTGGATTGGCTGCGCGTTTCGGTCATTTACCGCCATTGTCTTGTATGTAAGGTAACACTGATAGTTCGATTTCCCTTTGGTCTTCTCAATTTGCCTATATCGCTGGATACACAAAGTATAGATATGATCTCAGAACATTGCCAGTTCTCTCTACTCCAATTCTTGGTCCTCCCAGAACACAAGGCACCTGATCTCAATACTCTCCCGTGGTGGCCCAACATCCTTGGGTGTCTGAATTGCGGTGTGCGGCACCCGTCTAGCTCTACCATCCAGTTTGGTATCGAATATCTTGATCAGGAGCGCCTCGTCCGGGGTCATGTTGCTGGCGTAATACCATTTATGCTGCGGGCTCGCCACCATATGCCATTGCTCGTTGTCCTTATTGATGGTGTTGGGCGGCTTGCCCAGGACAATGCGTGTGGTGACGGGCCGAAGATCAGACTCTTCGACGCTTCGCGCATCACAGACCGCCAGCGGTTCACGTTGAACCAGCTTGAGTGGATGCCAGACGTTGATAATTCCCCATCGGGTCTTGGTCTTGGTACGGAGCATCTCTGCTTCGGGAAGCCGATCGAGCACCACCTCTGCCCCTTTGTACGATTGATCTTTGCTGCGTGAGTGCCGCACTATAAAATATCTATAGCGTTGTGGTACTTACCGACGTGAATGAACATGGCGGGTGGCTGCATGTTCAGGACCTGGGAGTCAGGAAGGTCATCCGGAATATTTAGAATCTTCTCATGAGGATCACGACGTATGACATGAGGGGCAAATGGGTGCACGTAGGTTGCGCCCGAGCTGTGTGACTTGTCAATTGATATCTTTGACAATCGATATATGGCTGTTCCTACTGTCTCATCAAGAGCTCTTGGACATCCTTCCGAAGCTGGTCGGGGAGACCAAATCTGTAGTCTCCCTCCCAGCTCCTTTCTTGAACAGTGCTCTCCACAACCTTAAAGCCCTGGGTGTCGAGATTGAACTCTTCATCACACGTGCGCATGTCTGTGACCGGAACGAGTTGTCGGTTGTACTTGGTGCGCTGAAAGCCCACAGTGGCGATCATCTGAACAGGAAATGCCTCGCCCTTAGGCGGCGGTTGGTGATAGTTGACATAAGCCTCAACGGACACCGGCTTCTGAGTGGAGTGCGGCATATTTGCAAAAGACAAAGACAATGATAGCTTGCTACAACGAGCTGGAAGTCGGATGTCCTGAGGAGAGTGGTGAAGCACTAGCCGCGGAATCGGTGGGAAGTGGAAAGCGGATAGTGGGAATGTCAGTCTTGCATTTAATGAGTCCACGACTCCCTTCAGTCGGGGATTGAAGACGTGCAACACGCAGAGCAAAAGTTTGCCCCGAGCCTGGACCCCGCAAGTAGGAATTTGTACCAGGAACTTACCGACTATCCTCAACTAACATTGACGGAGTCCTTGGCAGGCAATAAGGACTATTCAAAAAGTCCTCGAGGCGCCGCTTCCAGAGACTCCCCGTTGACTCCCCGACTGAAGTCACTCTGCACGCTACCAAGCAGAGCGGTCTGCGGATTATTTACGCCCTTGCTTTGCCGTTCGGACACGCAAATAGGTCCAATTCAAGCCCCGAGACAACAAAAACGGGCCGGGCCTAAATTCACACCATCAGTTTAGAGTTTCGAGGCACCGGAGTCGACCCTGATTGGTCAGTCTCTGATCAAATTGGCCAAGTTGGGCAATAAGTTCCTAACTTTTACCGGTCGGAGAACCTTGCGCGGTCACTGTTCGCCGGTAATACAGTTACCGATGACCCCAACTGCAGCTCTCACAGCATGTTCGTCGTGTGTCTTCGAGTGGAAAAGAGTCGAGGAGCTATCTGGCTTGATATCATTGCGAAGCTTCACCTCTGATTCAATTATGTATCACCGAACCTCGTCGCGATCCATCTGTGCTTCCGCTTAGGTTTTCCCAGTGAACTGATAAAATAAGATCGATCTAGTGCCAATTGTCTGATGCTCAGTCCACCTGAGGAGCCAGGGCTCCTAAAAACACGTGGTAAACTCCCGTACCCGACCATATGCTATGAGTATGTCGGGTTCAACTGCGGTCACAATTAACCTACAATTCCCGGCATTGATGCTGAGAAAATAACTCTAGATAGTCCTGTTGCCGCGCATTCCGAGGGAATGGTAACTCGAGAACGAGTCAAACAGAATATGCAAAGAAATAAAGCAACCCGATTACCTTGGTCATGGTGCACATCCCCCGAGTCAAAGATCTCTCTTCGTTGACAAAGACTTCTTTCCGCTGCAGCTCCATCCGTCAAGATACATATTGCCAAGACCTTGTCACCCAAAACACACGACGTCCCAGCTCTTCCAGCCAAACTTCGCAAACGCCAAGCACACGTCGTCCAAGCTCTTCTAGTCAAGCTTCGTGTACGAAAAACAGTCAAGACACAGCTCCGGAAGAATCTCAAGAAACATACTTCAACATGCCTTACATCCCCAACCTGCCTCAGATCCCCAATCGCTATGCTGCGGCACATGCCAACCCCCAGGGTGAAGGTGATGCTCGCCCGACTGCACTTCAGATCATTCAAGATGAAGGTCTGGTTGGCAAGTTGGATGAGAAAGTGGCGTTGGTGACGGGCGGCACCAACGGCATTGGCCTCGAGATTGTTCGGCATCTAGCCAAGACCGGCATGAAGGTATTCTTCACTTCGCGTAACCTTGCGAAGGGTGAAAAGGTCAAGACTCAGCTACAAGGTGAAGATGCCAGCCTTAGACTAGAGGTGGTGGAAATGGAATTGAGTAGCTTGAAGAGTGTCAAGAAAGGCGCAGAGCATGTTCTAGATAGCACGGTGCGATTGGATGTTCTCGTCAACAACGCAGGTAAGTGATGTTGCCATTTTTACATTCAAGTTGCATTGCAAGTTGTTGCTAACTCAGACGATCCTTAGGCATTGCAGCAACGCCACGCGGCTACACAGAAGAAGGATACGAGCAGCAGTTTGGCGTCAACTACCTCGCGCACTTCTACCTCTTCCAACTTCTCAAGCCTCTTCTTCTGGACACGGCTGCGAACAATAACGTGAACGTGCGTGTGGTCACCACCTCTAGCACATCTCACACGGCCTCGACTGTCCTCCCAGAGAACAATTACGACACGGCCAACCCCAATGGCAAGGGCTACGAGCCTGGCGTATCCTATGCACACTCTAACACGGCAAAGATCTGGTTCTGCAATGAAGTCGAGCGCCGCTACGGATCTGAGGGGGTTCACGCTATCAGCATCCATCCCGGTGGCTTCGGCAGCGGCTTGATGGAGTCTTCGGACGAGGAGACTCGCAAGATGCTGGAGAAGCTCATTCAGATGCCTCATATCAGAAAGGTGTGGAAGAGTGTTCAGCAAGGTGCTGCTACAAGTGTGCTGGCGTGTGTGGGTAAGCAGTATGATGGCATTGGCGGGTTCTACATGGAGGACTGCGGTGTTAGCAAGCCCATTCCCGATGATACCAACTGGGCTGGATATGGTTTCAAGTCGTGGGCATTCGACGAGGAGGGAGAGAAGAAGCTGTGGGCTGATTCATTGAAGATGGTTGGGTTGGAGGACGAGCTCTAGCTAATTTGAACCGTCTTGGATTTGTCTAGCTCTAGAATCAAATCCACAGATATTCCTTTTTTTCTATACTCCATTGTCTACTATTATTCTATTCAATATATTCCGAGGCTATAGTGGCATCGCCAAGTCCTTCCCCTCATGAAGTGGATGAAGTGGTGGTAAAGAACACTTGGAGGTTCGGAAAATTAATTACTGACTTAGACTGTTTATCCTAATTGGTTGGAGTCTTTTACCAGTTGACTTATTTGAAATCCTATTCTATTATTCGTTTCTCACTTGAGTACTCTTTATGTTGAAAGATCTAAAAATGTCGTGTTCCTGGTTATGCAAGGTCGGACCATCGAGGCCGGAGGAAACCTCAATTTCCACGTTTTCTCAAGAAGTAAGAGGATCGATAATATTTCTGGATTCGATTTGAATGTCCTCATGTCTTCATTCAATATGAAAGAGCAGAAATGGTGCCCTCGAGCTGTGGACACCGCGATCTAGGCATCTTGTTCTTTCACTTGGATCGACCGGCGGTTGGACATGTGGGTTCCCCGACTACTTATGTTTTACTGGGTATCGCTGATGAGAAAAGTTTACTTGTGATAACTGAGAGGCATCACTCGGTCTAGTTTCAAGGTAACATTTTCTGTTCAAGTTCCTTCCACAATGGGGCTCTCGTATACTCAATTGGGACAATACGATCGGCGATGAATCATGAGGAATAGCGGTTCACCCTGGTTTTCAACATGAGCAGCCAAGCTGATTGGTAGGTTCACTCTGTCAAAACTCTAAAAGTACAGATACCATTCATCTCGGTAGTGGCTAGTGACAGTTACAGTCTCAGAAATACACTCATGTGGGCAGCAGGTGGGCGGAACTCGAGGACGCGGTCAAAGCCTGGCCCCGGTCCCCGGCAACGCAACCTTGATCATCGGCGAACCCAGTTGGGCTATGAATCGCGATGACAATAGTAGCGCCACGGCAATTAGAATAAAGGCATCCGAATACCAGTAATCATCTTCACTTCGTACGTCCTTAGTTGTCTTTCCGTGCCAATATTAGACATTTGCTCGAAAGTTCTCGCTTGAGCGAATCAAACCCTCATATTTTCCACTTCCCAGATTGATCAACCAGATCTCAGCCAAATATGTCGCCCCCTGAAAGCCTCGGGGATCCCCTCAAAAAAGAATGGCAGTCCTCCGAAGCCCTAGCGAACGGCTCCTCTCTGGCCAGCAGTATGAAAGGCAGCGACGATTCGACCGGCACGACGGAATCGCAAGAGAAAACAGAGCCCGAGCCCGAGGCAGATGAACCACCATATCCGACAGGCGTTCAGTTGGGACTCATTGTTTTTGCGCTCTTTTGCTCGGTTTTCATCGTGGCAGTCAGTCAAACCGTACTTGCGACAGCTATCCCGACCATCACGAGCGTCTTCAATAGTTCCGATGACATTGCATGGTACAGCACGGGAGAACAGATCACGGCCGTTGCGTTGCAGCTTCCCTTTGGTCAAGCTTACTCGCTTTTCAACAATAAATGGACGTTCTTGACCTCGGTGGTCATCTACCTCGCCGGTAGCGCGGTTTGCGGCTCTGCACCGACGTCAGTTGCCTTGATCATTGGTAGAGCCATTCAGGGTGTGGGCATGGCAGGCGTATTCGGTGGCTCATTCATCGTCATTGCTCGCATCACGCCGCTTAGAAAGCGGAGTCTGTTTGCGGGCTTATTCGGTGCTGCATATGCCATCGCCAGTGTTATCGGACCTATCATGGGTAAGTTGCTGGTTATCTGTCTCGTGATCCGTACCCAAAGCTAATATTCCTGTAGGTGGTGCTATTACCCAGAGAGCTTCTTGGAGATGGTGCTTTTACTGTAGGTTTTCTTCTCTATCTTCATACCATGGGTTCAACATCTGATATCTGTAGTCAATCTCCCGATCGGAGCTGTAGTAGTCGCCGTCGTCATCTTCTGTTTGCCCCCTTCCCTCTGCCGGACCTCAGCGGAGCTCAGGTCCATGACCCCGATCCAGCTGGCGAAGAAGTTTGACCTTCTTGGTACTACCCTCCTACTGGCTTCTCTGGTCTGTCTGATGTTAGCGCTCCAGTGGGGCGGTGGTGAGTATCCGTGGAACGACGCGCGCGTCATCGCAGTCTTGGTTGTATTCGGGGTCACACTCCTCCCGTGGATGGCACTACAGTACTTCCAGGGAGACGATGCTACAGTGCCTCTCAGTATTGTGAAACAGCGTTCCGTTGCGTCTTCTAACCTTTACCTGCTCTTCTTGAATGGAGCTTTTGGTGTTTTCATCTTCTACTTACCTGTTTGGTAAGTGTTGGAAACAACTAGCCATCTAGATGTTGTTGCTTACACTAAGGCATTTAGGTTCCAATCGATCCGAGGAGATGATGCCGAATCCTCTGGCTTGAAACAGCTAGCACTCTGCATCAGTACAGCCGTTGGCTCAATTGTAGCTGGAGGTCTTGTAATGGCGATTGGGTTCTACAATCCATTCGTAATTCTAGGTTCCCTCCTGGTCACAGCCGGTTCTGCGCTCTTGATGACCGTCAAGTCTGATGCTGCACTTGGCATACTGTAAGTCTACCATCTACTCTACCGAAGATCCTTCAGGTTACTGATAACGATTTTCAGTGTTGGCGCTCAGATTCTTGTCGGTGCTGGCGTCGGTGTCGGAGCCGAACAGGCCAACGTAGCCGTTCAGACCGTACTGCCCAACGAGAAGATTCCCAAGGGCACTAGTCTGACCCTTTTCACGAGACTTTTAGGAGTTGCTCTATCAGTACCTATTGCGCAAAGCGTCTTCCAGCAAGAGCTTTCCAAGAACCTTGGTAGTGCCGTTGCTGCTAAGATTTATGGCGATGGCGGAGCTACTCAGATTAAGGATAACCTGCAAAAGATTTTCGGAAATGGGACCGCTGAGTATCAGAATGCATTGGACAAGGTCAACACTTCCTTAACGAGAACTTTTGAGCTGGCCATGGTCCTAGCCGCCATATCATTCCTCTTTGCAATTCTCTTGGAGTGGAAGAACGTCAGAAAGGAGAAGAGGTCATTTGACGATTCGAAGGAACAGAAGAGTCAGCCTAAGAAGTAATTTAGCAAACAAGCACAAAATCTTTGGGCTTCGGTGTATATTAGTACCAGAAAGCAATTCTTCACCAGCGCCGTTGGTCGTAGATAGTGACAATTTACCAACAATACAAGTATCAAGAACTGGCGAATCTTCGCTTACGAACTGGCTTTGGGGTTTGATCTAAGACCTATGCCATAACTCCACAAGCATTGACATATCAAATGTTATTATAGGAACACTCAAGGGAAAGAGGAGCCTGAGGACAAACTGTGTCTCTGGCAATTGAGGTCCCTAGCGACCACCCAACTCGCCACCACACTAGATATGGACCATTACACGGGATTCACAAGCTGATTTGAACCATATAGGTGACGGTTCGATGTAATAATGAGTCTAAACCGCTCCTTAACACGAGCTCACTTCTGCGAAACCTATGATTTCAATCAGCAAGTCAGGTGTTTTCTCGGCTGGAAACTCGAATGCTTCATCATCAATATTCATGGAAACAATGTTCTCAAATCATATGGAGACATTCTTCCAAGTCACAGGTTTCATAGGATTATTGCTTCATGCCTGGAGGATTTCACTGGCTGGGATAAAGTTCCACTATACTCCAAGCAAATTTTCTATCGCCGTTTCCCCTCAAGGTAGAGGAAAGGAGCCCAAATGTTTCACAACCAGATTCTAAAACAGTTACGATGATCTTTCAAACTGCTTTCGATTTTTAGATTGTTCCAATAGTCGTAAAGCTCGATTAGGAAGGCAGAACTAATGTCCCACTGGCTCACTTGTAGACCGGGAATTGAGGTTGAGCTCGGGTCGGGGAATCGGGGTGGACACCGCGAACCACCGGCAAATCGACAGCAGAACCCGGGGAAACATATTGAATGACAGAACTCATCCCAAATGAATCGGACTTGGCAACGGGTCTTGGCGAGGATCGGTATTCTCTCAGTTCATCGATTTGTGTATGATTCAGAGATGATGGTCAATAGCTCGTAGAACCGGCACCTCGGCACAGTAGTCAGGCAAAGCATGCGCCCATTCTAGTTCAGTTCTATGAAAGACATTGACTGCCCACAATACGGACTTGGGTTTGTCCAAAAATCAAACCGAGACCGATTCCGAACTTTTGAACACATTCCTTTCGACGCAAGAGGCAGAGTTGTGGATAGTTTCTAGCCCAATCGAGACTGCGTACGTTGCTACACTCGTTGAAAGTGGTCCAGTCCATGAGGATGTCTTCACTTCCAGGCCTTGCGGCCGTTTTTCTGGCGGCCGCAGGTATGGCTGGCGGTGTGGTTGCTGAAGAAGTGGGCATTGCAGGACATGGACTCATTGGCTATGGTATCACCATGTACCAGGTTAGTTGTTATGTTCAACAATGTGGAATCTCATGGACTAATTCCTCAACGAGCCCCTGTGTGCGTACTCGTGTCGTGTGGCACTTTCAGCCAGTCCGCTTAATTGCAGCAATGTGATGGAAATTCATGGCATGACCATGGCCGATACCTCGCCGGAATGCTATGCCAACGACAACGTCTTCCTGACTTCTTTTGCATGGTGCATTCATACAGTGAGTTCGGCCCTCTGCTTAAACCAGAACCGAAAGCTGACTAGCGTCTTCCCACAGAGATGTACCGATCTCTCAATATGGGAGATCGAAAAGTACTGGCAGTCGACCGAAGCTAGCATCCGCAATAGCCATAGGAGGCTTGACGAACCAGGCGTCAATGTCAATGCCTACCCCCCAGCGCCGAAGTGGACCTACCAGGAGGCACTCAGCAATGTGAATGGAACTCCTACAGCCACTGTAGTGTTTGCATTGCCTCTAAAGGAAAAGTCTCTGGTGTCAGATGCCGACTATCAAGTGCAGTACAACACCATGGGCATGTTCGAGAAGATGGAGGTTGCCCACGAGAGATATGGGTAGGTCTTGGCTTTTATGTTCTGGGATGAAGTCTTGCTGACCTTGTCAAAGTCTCATCCTAATTGCCCTGGGCGCAGCAGTCCCAATCTTCTTCTCTTTGCTTCGGTTTATCCCGCTGCCCAAACTGCTTATCTCGAAGATCCACGCTCTCTTCATCGACCCACCGTTGTTCGGGCGGAGACACAAGGCTCCTTATTTCAACCTGCTGATCATGCCAACACGTGGTCAGGCAATATTGATCTTCTACATGGTAGCCGTCAATGTCGTCCTCAGTGGTGTAGGCTACGACTCGGCCCAGCCCAACGCCTGGTGGGTCAATAACAAGGACCAGGAGCTCTTGACGTCCTTTAGCAATCGCATGGGTGTCCTGAGTTTTGCGAACTTACCGCTTCTCATCCTTTACGCCGGGAGAAACAACTTCCTCTACTGGGTTACTGACTGGACCCAGTCCACTTTCATGCTCTTGCATCGGTGGACCGCGTACTTTTGTACTCTTCAGGCCTGCCTTCATTCGGCAGCTTGGCTTCAGATCTACGTCAGCATGGGCCAGCATGATATCGAAGCCAAGCTGCCCTACTGGGTCTGGGGCATCATCGGCACGCTGGCAATGAGCATCTTGTTGCCGGCTTCGGTCATTCCCTTCCGCGCCAAACTCTACGAGCTGTTCCTGGCTGTTCATATCGTCCTTGCTGTTTTCGCCGTAGTCGGATCGTACCTACACATTGTCTACAGATTCCAAGACCAGTGGGGTTATGAGATCTGGATGTACATCTGCTTCGCCGTTTGGGGGTTCGATCGGGTAGCGAGAGTAATCCGGATGGCGAGGAATGGCTTGATGTGGGCTGACATCACCATCATCGACGAGGAGTATATGCAGCTGGACATTGACGGCGCGGTCGGAAGCGGGCACGCCTACCTCTACTTTCCAACACTTACATGGCGACCTTGGGAGAGCCACCCGTTCTCCATTTTGGCCTCCAGAGTGAAGCCTGCTTCAGCAAAGTCGATGAATAACAGTATTATGCCACCTCAGAGTTCGGGTAACTCCTACTCAAAGGAGTCGAGTGTTATGGAGGTGGCTGCTGTCAAGGAGAAGTCCCGCGTCGGGCTTTCGTTCCTGGTCAGATCCTTCACGGGGACAACAGGACTGCTTCGCTCACACACTCGAGTGCCAGTTTTTGTCGAAGCAGGGTACCTTCCACACCATGACCTCAGCAAGTATCAGAAACTTGTCTGCATCATAGGAGGTGTTGCTATCACAGCTGTAGCCCCAATTCTGCAGACGTATCCCGGCAACGCGAAGCTGTATTGGTCTTCGCGAACCGAAGGGCTCGTTCAGAGCGTCGATCTCAACGGCGTCGATGCAAACGTCTCGGTAGGCAACAGATTCAGGCTCCGTGCTGTCTTGGAGGAGGAAATTGGCAATGCAGACGGCAGCTTGGCGGTCGTCGTCAGTGGGCCTGCACCAATGGTAGACGAAGCTCGCTGCATTGTGAGCGAACTCGCCCTGCGGGCACCTATTCCAATAACCTTCATCGACGAGACGTACATATGGTAACATTGATCAGTCTCATACTTCAACTCATACCTTTTATGAAGCGGCGAACACCGTCTGGAACGAAACTTGTAGATAGGGCATCACATAGCGATACCATAGCTCACCTTGACCTCCGGGTATCAAGTTAGACTAGGTAGTCGTTCAATCCACGGCTGATTCTTTTACCAAGAAGACGATTCGTTGTGCTGGGAAGACAGCCCGTTGCAATCAGTATCGTAACAGGTTTCTTTGCCGCCAAGAGAGAATGGTGCGTAAAGTTTCGGTTCTACAATAGCAAGTAAGTTCAAATGCGAATGTGTCAACTCGCTCTTGATGTCCGACGTCGTGTGTTCTTGAGAGCGATGTTTACATTACTCTTCAATCTAGTAGTGAGGTTGAAGATGACACTTACCAATACAGAAACTAGCTTTAGTACTGTCAGAGCGACATCTCGTTCGCCTCTGAAGGACAGGCTTTCATGGCGTATATAAGGATCACAGGGGATTGTCTTCTATAATTAGTGTGTGAAGGATGTGGCACAGTTGATAGCTGAACCAGGCTCATGACGATCTTGTGGTTTTCGGCGAATCAGAAGTGTTGCTCCAGGGTCATCTGCGGTTGCCCGTCCGTCATGCACATTATCCAACATCTCGCGGTTGTCCCCAAAAAGACTTGGCAGCCATCATAAGGACGATGAGTCCGTGACTGGAAGCCTTTCTTCTGTTCTTCTGAAAGACATTGATGAAGCTGTGACCGGAATCGATCAGTACTTCAACTGTAGCTTCGGCTTGTTGTAATACCACGGCCATATTCGGCGACTTACTCTAACCGGAAAGTAAAGCGAATGAGCGGGATACAATCAGACGAGCCATGGACGGCGCCATCACTTCAGCCAATCGACTTCATTAACAATTGCATAACGTACGGCGCATTCGCAGCACCTTATCTTCTTCATGGAGCTCAGAGAGTACCACTGCCAGATGTTGGGGCGTATATGATCGACGCACTCAAACACCATAATGTATCCACGATACTGCCTTCGAGAGCTCAGCTTATCGGATGGTACGATAACCTCACCGTAAACGAGCCCGAGCCTTGAACCCTTTCACACATACGCGAACCACCGAGCTTCCTACCGATTTGGGCTAATAGAAACTGATTTGGGATTTTTGATAAGAATTGCGCTGTCGAGCTTTGCTCCCATCTCGACTTTGAGCTGGACGGCGATATTGTAGGGATAGGTGTAGGTAGATCCTTCCATTCTCAAAGACATCCATGAGTGATTCCGAGCTTCTGCACTCTAGGTCTTACATAATCATAACGGCACTATGATCGGCACTTAATGCGATCCTCCTCTTCTATTTTGTCCCGTCATGGATCAAAATGATATCCAGAAAACGGAGAGCTGGAGCTCCTGTTTTACTACAAGACCGTGGCGCTGACTACCGATCGAACACTTGGCCTTTCAGCCGAGCAGATCGGAGAATACCAGCGTTTGGGGGCAACAACAGCGTAGAGGGAATGAGCTTGGATTCCCGCCTCACTTTTTTGAGTTCCAAGAGAACTTATCTCGTGTTACTATTTCTCCTGGCTTTGATGTGGTACTTGCTCTTCCTGCTATACCGCATTCGGAGGAAGACATTAGATATCACAGGGCGTCCGAGTGATCGGCAAAGCTGGAGGTTGGGACAAATTGTTGCGTTAGCAACGTGGATCCCAGTGGTCGTGGAACTCGTGTACATGTGTACGTGTAAGTCTATGCTGATTATTCCGTCCCATGACCCGCCTCTGGCGAGATACTAATGTCTCTAAAGTTGGAAAGAAGTCTGGTCGGGAGGGACGACTACCGAACGGCTACGAAGCTGTTCCAGTGACCACTGGACTTAATGACAGCGCTGAGCCTGTCCCACTCAGGACTTCTAGGACTTAGGGTGGAAACCATACCACCAAAATATGACGGGTGCCGCATGAATTCATTTTCCTTTAACACTTACGTGGAGCCAAATTCTTTATCCGTCTCAAGATCTTCAGATAGCACTTTCGAAGTTCATCCTTCGATCTACTATCAACATACATTTTATGGCATACAAAGATAAGAGCGATACTGGCAACATGAACATTGCAATTTATGACTCATAGCAGATTATCATCACTCGGTGCCCGTGCTGTCTCAGTATTGTCCAAATAATTCAACACTTCTGGATTAATAGCGCAGTAAATCATGCCCAGTGAATGGTAGGATGCCCACTAGCTCCCTGAAACAACTACATAGTGCATCGCAATGTGGATTAGGATAATCAAATTGGCCATCACAGAAGCTCTGACTCTCACTCTTATTCACAATTGAGATCGGGATTGACTGTCTGGTAAGGTAGTCATTGCGTAGCTTACTGAATCCGATGATGAGATACCGATATGCAACTAAGCGGGGCTCAGATGTCCAAAGGCGGAATTGTGCAGCTTTATGCTTGCCCAAGCTCCGATAAGCGATAAGCTCCAAGCGATGTGCTTGGCCCTCGCGAACCTGCCGCCGTGCCGCTGTGAGAATCAGACGCCTCGGCAGGCCCCTTTCATCACAAGCAGAAGGCGCAAATCAAAGGCCGTGACAGTCACAGCAATGGACAGTCTTTCGAGAAACAACAAAACACATTGAAAGATGCTAAGCGGTACCTGTACGCGGCTGGCCATTGTGGCCGCCGTCTTTCTCGTCGCGGCAATCTTCCTAGTTCCGCAGCTCCCCCACGTAGGCTACAACGTGCCCACTCAGCTCGGCCACAACGCCCAAACGACAGGCGGCAAAGATGTCTCGAAAGGTGCCGATAAAACGAACGGCCCCGTCGGCGATCATGCCAACGAGGTGATCACTTCTCTGGCTTCAACTGCTACATCGCAGAGCGTGGCAAACGCGGCCCTGAAGCCAACACCTGCTCCCGCCACAGGCTCGAACCCCGATACGAAGAAGACGGTCTCAAAGCTCGAAGCTGGTCAGTCGCTGTCGCCGTTCCGTCTCGCCTCGCCAAACGGTCGCTACGAACTCAATCTCCTCGATAGCGGTTCCCTTTCGCTCCTCGACACCAAAACAGAGATCGAGTTGTTCACGTCCGATACCGAGTACCACTGGCCCGTATCATGGCAGGTCGAGCTCACCCAGGAGGGCGTGCTGATGCTCTCGTGGGCAAACGAAACTGCTGCTCCGTACGGCGCAACGCCATGGATCTCGAATCTCCTACCCGAGTGCGCTTCTGTTGAGAGTGGCGACGAGAAACCGGTTCTGGAGCTTTTGGACTCTGGAAAGCTGCATATTCGCGCTGGGGGCAAAACGACCTGCCTCCTCCACCGTGCCTCAGATGATATGGGACGTCTCGCGATCGTGTACACCGGCTTTTTGCGCACCTATTTGAAGACTTGCAAGGAGCAGAATAATAAGCTCGTCAAGACGTGGACTGGGAGCGGCGGTGTCGACGTACACGTGTTTACGTACCTGGAAGATGTCAACCACGATTCCGGTGACCCGGTGGACAAGGACAGCATAACCAAGCACCTGAAGTCGTGCTTTGGAGACGCGCTCAAGACTGTGGAGATTCTGAAATTGGACAGTGTGAAGGAGAACGCCGTGGATCCTCCCGAGGTGCTGGTGAAGGAGTGCGGCAACGATAAACTCAACCACCAGCTCAGTCAGTGGAAGGCACTATACCTCGCCAGCCTGCAGGTACAGAGCTACATGATAAAGGAGGGCATATCCTACGATTACATCTATAAGGGCCGTCTCGATCTGCTGTACTGGGGCGATTCGCCTGCCCTCTCGTCGCTCAAGGTACCCGAAAACGGCATCCTGGCACCCCGCGTTACTCTGGACTGGACGTGGTACGCCATGCTCCACGACGGCGAGCTGCGCGCGGGCGTTACAGACATCACCGCCTTTGGGCGCCCCAATGCCATGTTTACTTACCTCGCGCTCTACCGCGAGTTTATCCACATGCGGACTCTGGAGAAGGAGACGGCGAAGTGGAAGGGATTCAATACCAAGACCAGGGAGAAGAAGCCAGAGGGCCAGGAGGGATGTACGCCTGAAGGTATACTGGCGTACTGGCTGCGGATCAATGGCATCGCTGTGAAGACCGATTGGCAGTTCAAGATGGGTTTGTTGCGCGGAGATGGGAAGGTCATCTTCACTTGCCCTGAGGGCAGAGGTTGGCTGTGCCCTGGTTTCATTCCGCAGGTTCACGACGATGGAACCCTGTTTTGAGTAGTCGTTGTATGATACGAATAATGACACTGTTATATGTGAGATCACGGGTATAAGGCTTTCGCTTCCCTAATCACTTTTTATGCTTAATGGAAGTGCTCCGGAAATAGGCGGCGGCTAAGTCGGGCGTCTTTAGCCTTGTTATTCGCTACCCAGGATATCGAAGGGATTTGAAGACACTTTCTTCTCGGGCCTCATGCGAGGTTCTGCGTCTGCCATCTTCTTCCGCTTCTTTTTCTGATTTTTGGCTTCTTTTGATGGCAAAAGCAAATCGTCCGAAATACCCAGCGCCGTGGCGACCTTGCCAAGCGCACCACTGGTTTTCATACCCGCGAGAAGGCGCATTGTCCCATCGACTGATGGATACTCAGTGAGAGGTGGCAATGTGGACAACAACTCGCGCAGTTGCTTGGAGCCTTGGATCGGGTCCTTGGCTCCGACCTCGTACATGAGATCCAGGACCTGGGCCAAGATGCGGAGAGAGTAGAGCGTCGCGTGGATCTGCGCCGATAAGTGCACGACATCCCACGGGACGAGGTTCGAGTCTGCCGACACCGATTGGCCTAGCTTGATGGAGTTCAGACACGCATCCAGCTTATCGTCTTCCTGCGCGTGAGCGAGAAGGAGTTGCAAGCTGACTGCCTGCCAGGACGAGCCCTTTTGGGTAAGGCTACTTTTTGCCTTGGTCAAGGTCTTGAGGAGAGCATCCATCGAGTCCTTGATCCAGGGCCGGGGCAGCATCGCCATGTACTTGCCCTGGTTCACGCCAGACGACATTCTTCGGTACTCCCTCACGTGGGAGACGCCCCCGGGTCGCAGCAGACACGTGAGGCTGTATGCTAGCTGTCTCACGGAAGCGCTGGTATCCCAAGCGCTAGCACGGGCTGGACAGTCTAGGAGAGGCGGGAGACACATCATGCAGCCCGCGGCGCCGGAGTCGAGCGCGAGCGGCTTCGCTACCCCGGAGTAGCCCACGCACTGCAGGACGACCTCGGATAGCCTCGCGTCGAGGTAGGGTTTGTCGAGGCTGCCCAGGATCGGGACAGCGCTCCAGTCTGTAGTCTCCAGTGTCTCGTACGGTGCGCAGAAGGCGCGGAACTCTTCCGGATCTGCGACCTCGCCTTTGCAGTTTTCGAGGACTTGTGCGAATTTGGGCCGGGTGGACTTGGAGAGCTCGTAGGCGAACCTGCGCATGCCGTGGTCCTCTGGTAGCTGTAGACGTTTGGCGATCTCTGACGGGGAGAATTTTGGGCCTAGGAGAGCGGGTTTGTCGTCGTCGGTGGTGCCGATGTGGAGGTCTCTGAAGAAGGCGACAGATCCTGTCTTTAGATCGTGGACGGTCAGATCGGAGTCCGAGGTCAGGATGGTTCCGCCGTTGCGCAGCACGTCTTCTGCGCAGTAGGCGTCTGCTTCGCCGGGGACCAGGCGGACCAGAGAGGCATACTTTTCGATCGATTCCAGCTTGTCGACGATGGCTGCGACGAGAAATGCTGGTGGTGGGACCAGGGGCTGGTCTCTTTTGGGGGCATCGGTTGGGAAGAGAGGTGGTAGTGAGAGACGCGTTGATGCAATTTGCTTGGCTGGGCAACCGTTGGGGAAACCTGAGCGGAAGATCTTGAGGGACGAGGATACCTTGAGTATTCTCTCGAGGCGGACTTCTGCCTTTGATGTCGGGAGGAAGCCATCAAAGTAAATGGCGGCGCTTTGAACGTTAGCTTAGGTCTTTTCATGTCTTGGAGGAAAGAATTACATTGATATATCATGACTGGTGACTTCTTCTAACCATCCTATCGCGGTTCTTCCGAGGATATCGTAGGATGGCAGACCGGAAGTACTTCTCGTACAGAGATGGTAGATATGGTATGCCAAAGCAGGGCCATCAATGACAACTCTGTCACCGTCGAGAGGCCCAAATACCCCATAAGGGGAGAGATGATTTAGGAGATGAGGAATTCCCATGATTGTATAATGATTCTGCCTTATAGACTTACATTAGAACTAAAACATGTACGAAGATTGGCTCACTCCAGGCCACGAGATTAACAGCCAATCTATTGTAAAATCTCTTCCACTGACCTAATCTTTGGGATTACTTCTAATGTGCTGCTTCCCCAACTGATACCGCGTGTTAGAACCCGATCGAATCCTTTGACTACGGCGGTCCAATCTCCATCAAACGATCCCGTTACAAATAATCCATTGAATGTTGGGACATGGATTGAGGTATCTCAAGACATCTGCCTGGATACTTGCCTTGGTAGGTAATGGAAAGAACGACCTGAGCTCCTGCAGAAACTCATCGCGGGGTCACGGTGCGTGACACACGGTACGTACAGTCCCCATCAACCATAGGAAGCGGCGGCCCTGCCTTAGGGATTGGAAAGGGTATCTCCGGCCCGGATAAATACAGTGTGATGGTAGCACCTTCTCGCCCACTACACGTGCCTGCACTGTCCGTTCGACCCCACTGCGGCGCCTGGCTCCGTGCCCGCCCGCTTTTCGGCTGAACAGCCCCCTTGTCCCCAACTCAATTTTTCCTTCGCAGTAATAAAAGCTCCCCACCTCGCGGATCAAATCTCTTTGCCTTTCGCATTCTTCTTTTCAACATGCGCGGCACTCTCATCTTCGCGGGCTCCTCCTGCCCAGTCCTCACTAATCAGATATGTGAGAACCTGGGCATGGCTCCTGCCCAGGCGGAGCTTACCCAATTTTCCAATGTAAGCTGAAAGTGCGCATCGCTGGGCCGTCGACCACCAAGGGCGGGGGAAACGCCGTGTTCCTGCTCACGAACTTTTCATGATGTAAATCATGGAGGGAACAGCAGCCGCGGCCGCTCCCACTGCCTTGATTGGACCAATTCCAACTTTGTTTGGACTCCCTGTTGAGGCTGACCCGTCACACAAAAGGGCGAGACGAGCGTGCGAATCTTGACCAGCGTCCGCGAAAAGGATGTCTTTGTCGTCCAGTCCGGCAGCGCCAAGGTCAACGACACCATCATGGAGTTGTTGATAATGATCTCGGCCTGCAATGGCGGATCAGCAAACAAGATCACTGGTAAGATTAGCTCCACTCCCTCCGACTATCGTCTTATTGTGCTAACTCAATCGCTTCCCCAGCTGTGCTTCCGTACTTCCCCTACAGTCGCCAGTCGAAGAAGAAGTCCCATCGGGGTGCCATCACAGCAAGAATGCTTGCCAACCTCCTCGGCGTGGCCGGCGTTAAGCACGTCATTACCGTCGACCTGCACGCTTCCCAGATGCAGGGCTTCTTTAAGTGCCCGGTGGACAACCTTCACGCCGAACCACTCATTGCGAGATGGATTCGTCACAACGTGCCCAACTGGAAGGAGGCCGTTGTCGTGTCCAAGAACGCGGGCGGAACCAAGCGTGTGACATCGCTTGCAGACGCATTGAAGCTCAACTTTGGCATGGTCACAACAGAGAAGAACCGGAAGGGAACCAACATGACTTCGAGTATGATCATGCACCACCTGGACAATCTCGATCGGGAACCCGTGTTGGAGACAACGCGTGAGCCACCCAGACCTTCCACACCTCCCGCTGCACCTGGCCGAGCTGCCCGGATCAGAACCGACGCACACGGTTCCCCTCAGTTCACCAGCGCTCCGAGGTCCCACCCTAGATCGATGGACGACCGGCCCACAACACCCACACAGTCCAAGCCTGGCGATGGGTCGGTCGACGATGATGAGGAAGAGGGCGACGCGCAGTACGATGATCGTCGCGCCCATGAAGTTACGCACGGCCGATTGGTTCAGGGTCACATAGTGGACGACGACTATCCATCGCCAGCTGCATCGACCGTCAGCGGCAGCGTTCAGGGCGACGATCCCATGACCATGTCGCACGCATCATCATTCTTTGCTCCCGAGCCCCATGCCCTGGGAGGTTCTGGAGACGCGGCCCCGGAGTCGGACGAAGAGGACGAGGTCCTGAAGGATCCCAAGGTCGAGCACATGATCACGCTGGTCGGCGATGTCAAGAACAGAACCGTCTTCATCGTTGATGACATGATCGACAAGCCCAACTCGTGGATCGCCGCTGCCGAGACAGTCGTCAAGAAGGGCCGCGCCAAGAAGGTCTACTGCATGGCCACCCATGGCGTGTTCGGCGGCGACAGTCTCGACCAGCTTCAGGCGTGCGAGTGCATCGATACCATTCTCGTGACCAACAGCTTCCCCATCCCCGAGGATCAGGCCAAGCGGTGCCCCAAGCTCGTGGTACTGGACCTCTCCTTCCTCCTTGCCGAGGCGATTCGCCGTAACCACTACGGCGAATCGATCTCCCCTCTGTACCAACACATTCTGGACTGAAAAGATTTTCCGGCGAGAGAGCGTGCAAGGATTGTCTCGGTTACAGTTCGCCTGACACGGCTTCTTTTTCTGCTTTTTCCTGTCTTGGACTGGCTCAAGGATTCTCTTTTGTTATTGAGTTCCAGTATGTGTGCGGCATACTCGGGGGAGATAGGCATTTCAGCGCGGCGTTCTGGGCTAAAACGGCAAAGAGTGGAATGGCCAAGAGATGGTTGCAACCAAAAAAAATACGCGTTCCCAAGGAGACTTTGGTAGGTCTTGCTCAACATCAACACAAAGCATGGTCAGTATTAGACATGAATGATGAAACTTTGATACCTTTTTTCAACCGGGCCGCCATCCAGTATGGCGTGTGCGCGCGTTCCTCAACTGATACACCTTTTTTCACCTTCACCTGATGGAAGATTGGGTTGCATCCATTGCATCACCCTTTCTTACCTTTCACACCAACGATGCTGTTTTCTGAACAGCCGGGGCCCAGTTCATCCCAGAACAGGCCTTGAACGGAGCGTTGGCAGATTAATTTTCGACTCAAAGAAGATCCCTCTTCCGGTCGTCTTCATGACGGCCACAGCCTCCGGGACTGGTGGGAGAGGGATAAGAGAAACCTTCGAACATCTCTTCAAGTGATGTACGTGTGAATGTCTTGATCACAGTCGGTGTGTGCACCGACTTTGTTCTTTTAGCTTCCTGTTTTTGATAATAATACAAATCAACTTTCAAACATTTTTTTTTGCCTTTTTACGTCGTGACATCGTCCCTGCAGTACATACACACGTACCGCATACTCCTAGTCCTCCGTGACGCCCCTGCCTGGGATTTCATAAACACAACGTCAAATTCGTCCACATCTCTCAAGTAAACACAGCAATGTCCCCTTTCTACTCGAACAGTTCCCACCCGTGAATCTCGTCCAACAGTTGCAAATACGTGCTCTTCTCGCCTTCCTCCTTGACGGCCGCCACATCCTGAAGCAGCTCCTCACCGAAATTACCCGCGCCCGCGGCCTTGATGATGCGCCACGCGCGGCGGAATTCGTCGCGGATGGCAACGATGCCGTTGTGCGTGACTGTGCGGGCGACGTTGTGGTCTAGCTCGAAGGGGTCTTCGATGGCGAAGAGGTAGCGGTGCCGGACTTCCTTGACTTCGCCGTTCTTTTGCGCCGCCGCCGATGCTGCTGCGCTACTATCGGTGGAGGTAGTGATGGTGCCGCTGGTGGTTGTCATCGTCGTCGGGGTGGGCAGGTCGATGGGCGATCTCAGGGTCATGTGTTGTTGTCCCTGCAGTCCGGGGGGAGGACCGTCGGTGCTCGGGGAGTTGACGGCGGCGGTGTTGTTGGCGTTGGGGCGGTACTCGATGACCGTCTTGGCGCCCGTCCAGCCCTTTTCCGTCTTGGAGAGCAGGCCGCCCGGCGAGCGGATGCTGAGGACGTCGCGGCCCCAGTCGTAGCCTCGGCCCGGGTAGGTGCTCATGGAGCCGTTTTGGGCGTAGTACTCGAAGAAGCCCCGGAGGAGCTGGCCGACGGAGTCGCGGTTGCCGTTGAGCTGGCTCATCTGCGCGAGGCGGAGGATCTCAGCCTCGTCGCGCCAGAAGCCAACGAAGCGGCCGCGGCAGACAATGCTCTCGTCGAGCAGCGCCGGGGACTTGGGAGGCAGGCCTTCAGGGGGAGGAGGCGGAGGGCCGAGGGCTTGGAGGTTGGGGCAGACAAAGGGCTGGACCACGTTGACGAGGTAGTGCAGCATCATGAGGACGTAGCCGTAGCTGCTGAGGGTGCCGCGGTACGGGGTGTTCACGCCGCGGACCTTGGCCCAGTGTTTTACGAAGAGGACGAGCGGGCGGACGCGGGGGTCGGTGTGGGAGTAGCAGCGGAGGAGGAGGGTGTTGTGCAGCGCGAGATGGGCGGCGAAGTTGATATCGCACTGGACGCCGACGCCGTTCTTTGGGAACTCGAGCTTGTCGCGGTAGGGGTCGCGGGGCTGGTTGATGGCCATCTTGGCCGGATCCTTGAGGTCGCGCATCCGCTTTATGGTCTCCATGTTTTGCTTGGTGACGGGGATGACGAAGTCGTACTGGGGGTCTTGAACGTTGCTCTTCCGCATGGGACCACGGAGTATCGAGATGTATTCTCTCACGTCGTTCTCGATGCTCGGATCGTACAGGTGTTGGTCGACTGCCTTTTCGAGTTCGAGGGCAAGTTGAAGACTCTTGTGGCGGCGCGCGACGGTGAGGAGGCTGAGTGGTTCGTTGGTGGTGTCGATGAATTCCTGCACGCTCTTGCGAGTGGTGCTCGGCCAGATGCCGGCCGTGTATCTGTTGATGATGAGCTGTTTCGCGGCCGTAGCGTTAGGATCGCCTCGGGGGCGGAGGTTTGCGAGGATCTTGAGTGTCCTCGCGTGGTATCCGGTAGCTGCTTCAAACTGGCTCTGTTCGAGAGTGAGCAATTGCGCAATGGGGAGCTTTTTGAGCTTCTCCAGGTGCAGCTGCAGATGTTTGCTGTATGTCAGGGGCTCGATTCCAAAGTGCTGCTGATTCTGGAGATTCTTCCAAGACGCTATCAAATTCCGAGTTGCATCGTCGGTGTCGTCTATGCTTCCGATCTCAGCCTCTCTTTCGCATAGCATGACAATCTTCTCGCCTTCCATCTGGGCGTACACGCCAGCCAGGGACCGGTAGTTGGGAACATTAGTGATCGTCTTGAAAGAAAGAGACAGGTAATTTGAGAGTCTACTTCTCAGCGGCACGTCGTGAATGCCTTTCAAGAACGCTTCGCAAACCTTGTTGAGCAAGTCGTAGTCCTCCTCTACCAGCTCACGACAGTTAGAGAGAGTCACATCCCGACCTCCCAATCTTCTCAAAGTTCGCTTCGCTACATTATAGTAAGCAGAGAGAGACTGGTTCTCGGGCTGGTAGATAGCCGGCACTCTGGGCTCGTTCAGATTGGGGCCTGCAGGAGATAACTCGCCCGTTTTTGGGTTTTTTGGGTCGTCGATCGTTTCGTCCGTCATTTCCTTGGTGTGAGTATCAGCCGTCTCGTCATCATCTGCAGCATCCGCATGGTCGGTATCCACGATGCCCTTTTCCCACTTTTCACGCTCTTCCAAGAGGTCCTTGAGCAGCTTCGCGGGCGGGTTCTGGCAAAGCTTGATGATTGGTACTCTCGTGCGGGTCAGCAGACGCGCGCCAAGGCCGATTTCGAGAAAAGCCTTCTCGATAAGTCTGGGTATCGCAGAGCCCGACTCATCCGGTTGGGGTGTAGAAAGGGGTGAGACCAGACCGAGATCCATGTCTGAGGCTTTCGTTGCGAACCCAGAAGACAGACTGCCGAAGCACTTGAGTTGCACAGACGGCGGGGGGAAGTTCTCCAGACCATTTTGTGTCGCCTCATATTCGGCAACTGCGGCCTGGCACACTTGTTCGATCTTAACTCGGAAGGCTTCCTTCTCGGCGATCTCTCCTCTTTCAATCTCTGCGCCAGCAACGAGAGTGTTGCAGAGGCTTTCTAGGTAGGATGCCTGGTTCTCCAACTCCTCGGGCCGGACTGGGTGGTGTTGACCACGGGGGCTGTAAAGCTGGCCATGATTGTTCCGTGGAAAACGCGGTGAACCGTGCTCTTGCTGACCACTTGGGTGCTGATCATGCTGGTATCGTTCAGAGTTGACGAGGTTTCGATGTCCGTTCTGTCTGGGGGAGCGAGGCGACATGCCGCCTGCAAGGTGATGCGGCCTGTGGTGCAGGTCTGGATTATGATACGTCTTGCCTGGTCGTCCATGAGAGGGGAATCTAGGATTCTCGTGAGGGTAAGAAGGAGAAGGCCAGCCTGTGTAGGGTCGTCCAGCCTCGGTGGGCGGAGAGGGGCGAGTGTCAATGGGAATGGACAACTGAGCATTCATCTGTCGTCTCTGCGCCTGGTTGAGTCGCTTTCTGCCCACCTTGGGCGAGGGTGGTGGCTTGCCATTGACTCCGGCTGAAGCTTCGGGATGGTCTCCATGGGGTTGAAGATGATCGTTCGGTCCATTCGCCGGGGTTCCGCCACCGGGAAAGTGCGCGGTTGTTCGCAGGGCATCTTGAACCTGATGCTGGCCGGTGGCTAGAGTACCGTTGGTGAGTATCATGTTTCGCAACTGATCCTCGAGCCCATTGTTTTGAGAGCCATCAAACTGGCCCATGCCGGAATTACTGGTGCTATTATTCATGGTGATTGTTGCTTGAAGGTGTTATCATCGAATACGATGAGTTGGATACAGCTGAAGGAAGGGTAAGGCTTCTGTGAGAGTTGATGAGATGGGTGCACTGAAAATAGGCGCAGAGCACTTACCTGGTCAGACACGTCCGGGACGCATGGCTTGGACAGTTGGATGCAGAGGATTGGGGATTTGGAGGATAGATACGGAGGTGAGTAAGAGTGCTGTGATTGGGAAGCTTGTATTCAGTTTCCGATTGGCGATCACCTCATTCATGTAGGTAGGTGGTGTAAATGGAACTTCAAGTGAGGTGGAAGCTTTACGTGGGGAAGCAGGTACATTCCGGAGTGAGGGGCTACAGTCTCAGACTTGTGACGCACTGTACAACAATGGGTATATGCAGTCGGTCTCTCACTGTACAGATACTGCCCTCCGCGGACTTTGAGGTAAGGTACCGCAAGTACCTCTATGTGGATAGCTAAAACCAAGATTTGTGGAATGAATTGGATGCTTACTATATATCTCACATCTTTCATGGCCTTCCACGGTCTCGTGAAGCCATTGACTGGATTCTCCTATTCACCCCTTTACAGCAGAGAACAGCAAAATCCCCTATCTTGGATGCCGTGATGTCTGGATTTGTAACTATTGCCTGGGTTGGTGCAAATATATGGGCCAGTCAAGGGCACGCATTTTGATAATGGTTGACGTTGTCGAGGCTGAACATCCTATTAATACTCAATAGATATAAGGCATTGATGTCGTGCTTCGAGCCAGGGACACTCTGCAAGCACGTAAGATTAATTCCTTGAAGTAATT